GAAAGAAAAGCTGAGAGACCACCCTCCCCTCCCTACCCCCCCCCTTCCCCGAAGAAGCACCAGCGCTAGCCTGCATGACGTGCCTCGTCGCTGTTTGCGTTGCGGTTATTGCTGGGTACGTCCTGCTCGGTGGATTTGCCCTGTTTTTCCTCGTGCGTTTTGCGTGGCTGAACTGCGTGCGCGAGGCGCGGCCGCGACAGTGCGGTCAGCACCTCCTGTCCTACGGGGTGTTGCTCTGCTACTTAGTCCTCTGCGTGTGGACAGCGCATGGGTCAGCATTCCTGCAGAGCGGGCTGCGCCTCGCGGCTTCGTCTTCAACTTCTGCCTCGCACGTAGGCACAGGATCTGCATTTGGCGCCAGTAGCACCTCTGTCTCTTCCAGGTGGCCCGTGCGTGTGCTCGTCGAGGTCGGCAGCTTCTTGGCTGACGCTTTCCTGCGTCCGTGGACTCCCTTCTCCCTCGCGGCACCAGCCACGACCGCCCACGACGCAGCCCTCTCTTCCTCTGCCCCAACGCTGCTGTTTTGCAGCGCGCTGTGCGCCTTCGCCCAGGTCGTCGCCGCCACCTCTCTTTACGGCACCTTCGCGGTGTGGTGCAACACACGCTGGCGCTACGTTGTCCTGCGAACTGTCGCCCAACACGCCGATTTGTGGGCGCTTCTCTTCCCGCTCGATCCCGCCGAGGATTTTGCTGCTGCTGCGGCGGCGGCGGCGGCGATGCGGTTTTCGGCAGAGGTGCAGCACAGCTCTCAACATCAGCGAGACGGATCGATGGACTCCTTGTCGTCGCCGCCGTCGTCGCCAGCCGCCGGGGCACAACGAGGCGCAGCGGGGCGTCGTACCGGGCGGGTGAGCGTTATCGCGCCAGCGAATGCCTCGCCGCGCACTCCGCCAGGTCTTCCCCGATTCAACGCCAGCGGTAGTAGTCGTGTGAATGCGGCTGCGAACGGCCGTGTGTTCGCACTTTCACAACGTCCTGACCGCGCTGCAGGCACTATGGAAGAAGAGGAAACACGGCCAGAGCGGCAGCGGCGACGCCATCTCTTACGTGTTCGGCAACGTTTCTTGTCTGCCTTCTGGGTGACCGACGCGACGGTGTTGTTGATGACGTTCTTCTTCTTTAGTAGCCTCGCTGCCGGTCGGGTGGCCGTCACAGCTGTCATGGCCTCGATCTGGACGCAGCGCTTCTCCAGCGGCGCAGCTTCATCGACAACAGGGATGCCGTCGACTGCCTCGACACGGAAAAGCTTTACCCCCTACCCTACCGAAGGCTACGTTGCAGTGATCGGGCTGTGCTACCTCGCACTTCTACGTCTCCGGCTGAGGCGTCAGAGAGCGCTCCTGCGCGATCTTTTCGTGCTCGTGCGCAGCTCCGCAACAGCAACAGCAACAGCGGCAGCACCGGCAGCACCTTCTCCTTCGCTGTCGCCCCTCCCCTTACCACGGCAGCGTCGCTCGCGTCTGTTGCACGGTGCTGAGGCGAACAGCAGTCGAACGCACCGCTCCAGCCGCTGTCGACTGTCTCGATCTTCTGGTTCACTATCGTCGCCCGCGTCGCCGACGCACCCGCTGTGCAGCCGCAGCTTCGACAACGCACCATTTTCTGGCTGGGTCACCGTCAACCCGCGGCCGCCGTTGCAGCGCGTCGCGTTTGATGTAGACGCCGAGGATCGCGCGACGCGGGTGAAGGAGAGTGGTGGCCGATCTGCGTCGCTCTTCGCTCGCTGGGGTGTGCGGTGGTGGTCGTGGTCGTGGTGGCCAGCCCAGACGCAGACTCGTGCATCGCGCCAAGAGGGCGGCAGCTCCGCGGATGCATCTTCTTCCACGCCTTCCGCCACGTCAAGCCCGGCAGCGGCAGTGCAGCCCAACCCCCCGAAGTTTCGCTTTCTGATCCTCACCACGGCGGCGCTGCTTGCCGTGCAGCTGGCGCCCGACTCGACGGGCGTGTGGGCGGCGGCGCTGGGGCTCATCGGCGGCTGTGCCGCCGGCACCACTCGCGACGCCCTCTGCGGACCTTTCTGCTGGATCGTCACGGACTACCGGAAGCTGCTGCGGTGCTCGTGGTGGGGCCTGTTCGCCTCCCGCGCCTGCAGCCCGCGCGCGATGGACGTCTCTGCGGCGATCTCGAGCCTGTCGGAGCAGCAACGGCGTCACTTCATGACGCTGCACATCCGCGGTGCCCTACCGCATCCCTACCACCGCCGCCATCCGTCGTGCGTGGTGGTGGACGAAGACGAAGAGGAGGACTGGGTTGCGGAGACGGCGAATAAATCCTTCGCTGTCAACGCGCTCGTCGAGGCGGCGAAGACGGCGACAGTCGCCACCATCACCACTAACACAAGAACAAGAACAATGCCGACGCCAGACTTTATTACCTCACCACGTTCGGCGGGGTCGGCCAGCACCACCAGCCCGTCCGCGTCGTCCGCCACAACAGCAACAGCGGCGGCATGCCTCGGGGACGTCGGAGATGTGGACGTCGACGCGTTACTTGCGGACGACGATGCACCTGGGATGTCCGAAGTCGGAGGAGACACGTACAACGACGATGAGTGGAGTGAGCGCGACAGCGTCGTGGCGGCGTTCTCGCTCACGCAGTTCTGGCACGGAGTTGTGACGCAGGCGCTGCAGAAGTCGGCTGCGCAAGCTACCGGGTTGCAGGGCGCGCCTTCTCCCGGATTGAACGTCGAGGGAGGCGCTTTACACGAGTCTTTCGAGGGCCCAGCGTCCACGACGCACGCGAACTCCTCCGTCGTCTTTCCATCGCTGCCGGGGCTGGCACACGTCCCCCACGGCGGCAGCAGCGGCGGCGGCGACGCGTCTATAACGTTTTTCAACGCCAGCTTTCTGGGTGTAACGGACCCCTTTCGGGTCGCCGCGCTGCTGTCCCTGGTACCGACGGAGTCGCCTGTCAACGGAACGGCGAAGACGCTGCTGCCCATCGCACCGGGTTTGGAGCTCGGCCACGACCTACGCGCGGGATTTGGGCCGAAGAAGATGAAGAGGTCGATGTTGCTGACGGCTCCGGCGGCGGCACGCGTTGGTGCGGCGGAGGAGCGGGGGAAAGAGGACGCAGCGGAACGCGCGCGACAGGTTTCTGCTGCTGCTGCTGCCGCTGTTGGAAAGGAAAACAACGAGGATCATCCCGAGCGCAATCGCAGCTCTCCTCGCCCTACACCCGCTGACGCGCAGCGACGTCCCCCGTTGTCCTCCTCACCACCACCACCGCACGCGCCTCACGCAAAAGATCACGCGATCGCGACGGCGCCAGAAGCGGGGTGGCTGTCGAGCGCGCTGGCCACCGTTGTGTCCGTCATCGTCGGGCATCGCCGGTCGGTCTCCTCACCCCCGCTGGACGCACACGCAGAAGGAGCTGAGGAAGCCTTCACAAGTGCGTTGCCCGCCGAGGTGGTGCACGACATGTCCACAGCCAGCAGCCTCTCCATCGCCACCTCCGCCGCTGCACGGGCGCTGCAGCAGAGCGAGGAAGGCTTTGAACGCTTCCTGAGCTGCGTGCGGCGTGACGGCGACAACACCTTCGCTCTGCAAAGTATGCTGTCCGCGCACGGCAACACGTACGGCAGCCGGGTGGACGCTATGGGGCGCGGCGCGTTGCACTACGCCGTCATTGGCGGTTTTGTCCACGGGGTGTGGTTCCTCGTCAAGATCGGCGCGGAGCCGAACCTGCTGGATAAGGCCGGCTACGCCCCGCTGCACTACGCCGTGCTGTACCACACGGTGCACCGCCTCTCACCCACCATTACGGATGAAAACACGAGCGCGACGGTGCGGCAGGCGCGGCAGATGCTGGGCATCCCAGTGGTGGCCACGGCGGCCCTGCAGGCACCCGAGCAGGCACGGAAGCGACGCCAGCTGCGACAACAGCGGCACCGCCGGCTGATGCGGCGGCGGCTGCAGGCGGCGTACAGCGCCACGACCGACCCGAATCGCTCTTACGGCGGCAGCAGCAGCAGTGACAGCAGAGACAGCAGCGATAACGGTAGACCGGTACTGTCGATGGTAACGAGCATGAGCACCGTCAGCGACGTCTCTCGCATAAACAGCTACCACGGCAGGTCGTCGCCACGGCTGCGAAGGGCAGAGGAGCAGCACGACGAACAGAGCCACCACCACCACGGCAGCAGCAGCATCAGCAGCAGCAGGAGTGTTGCGAACAGCACCCCGCTCGGGATTCCCAGCAGCTCGCACGATGAGGAACTCGCCGACAGTCCGCTGCTGGAGCTGCTGCCCACCGACATGCCAGATGACCCAGAGGACGCCATCGTGGAAGAGCCGGCCTCGAGCATGGCGGTTGTCGCCGCGGCTGCGATGGCGCAAGAAGAACGTGGGCAGTGGTACGGCCTGGTGGGTCGGCTCTTGAGTCTTGGGGCACTCGTGGACTTCCCGACGGCGCGCGGCCTCACGGCGCTGCATTTGGCGGTCTTGCAAGGCGCCCTCGGTCTTGTGAACACGCTGCTGCGGGAAGGCGCCAACCCCCTGCTGGGGTCGGAGCTGGAGACGCGACCGTTTCTCTCTCCTGCCAACGATGCCGCGGGGGAAGAGACGGAGGAAGACGGGAGTCTCGACGCAGCAACGAAAGCACAGAAGATATCCGGTAGAGGAGACGGGGAAAGGGGCGAAGAAGCGGTGGAACTGGACAGGTCTGCGGCATGGACTCAGCAGGTCAACGCGGAACTCCAGCGCGCTGTTGGTGGACGGCGGCGGCGTCGGCGGCAAGAGGAGTCGCGGACGTGCGTCGTTCCTGGAGAAGAAGAGCAAGCAGAGGAAGAGACACCGTATGGCGCAAAAAAGCGCCAGAAGGGCAGCGCGAGCTGGGTGGAAGCACCATCTCCTGCGACGTCGCCACCACCACAGGGGACCACCAGTGTCTTCGACACGGAATGGGTCGACGTGCACCTCACACACGCCGGCAGCCCCATCGTCATGGGTCACTGCAAGTCCCCGCTGCTCTTAGCGGTAGAGCTGGATGCCGACCTGGTGGTGGCCAGCATGCTGTACCACGCCACGGTGCAAGACACGTATCGCCGAGTCGCCGCCAGTCTTCGGGTGGGGAAGGTAAAGCGCGGCAGCAGCACCGGCAGCAGGAGCAGCAACAGCCTTCACGGCAGCGGTGGTGGTGGTAGGGGAACAGGACACGTTTCGTTTCTTCACGACGGTGACGTTGGCGTGCCGTTCGTGTCGTCGGCCAGCAATTCGCCTCTGCCCCCGTCGCCGGTGTCGCGAAGAGTCGCCCACGGCAGCCCTGTGCCGTCTCCTCTGGCGGTGGTGGACTTGACAAATACAACGGATCCGTTGCAGCAGCAGCAGCAGCAGCAGCAGCAGCAGCGGCCGCCCCTCGTTCCATCTCCGTCTCCTACAGCTTCCTCCTCCTCCTCACGCGCAGTTACACCCGGTGCACCATCGCGCAGCAGCGTGCACTCGAGGAAGCCGTCGCTCACCACCGCCGTGGTGGCCGGTCGCATCGGCAACACCTCGCCCCCCGCTGCGCCAGGGTCAGCACATCCGCTGATGGAAGAAGGGGGTGTTGATGAGGCTGCCCACAACAATGCTGCTGCCTCTGCCGCTGCTGTCGAGTTGATTGCCGCCGTCGCAGCGCTTCTGCCGTCGCCCACCGTCATCAACACGGTAGGCACCAGCAGCAATCGAAGTAGCCCCGCGCCGCCGGTCGGTGGAGGTGGAAGTGGCGGCCACCATCAGCGTGCGGGCAGCCGTGTCAGCAACAGCAACAGTGTCACGGACCTCATCTCCTCGGTGAGTGGGGCGACGGCCGACACAATTGCGACAACGATCACCACACTGGCGTCGACGTGGGTCCGTACCTGCTGGGCGCGGTCCTGCGAGCACGACTTCCGCGCCATTCACGTGGCACTTCTGCTGGGCAACGCGCGCGCGGCGCGGGTGCTGCTCCTACGCTGGACCTACGATGGCAACGTCCGAGGCGGCGGTGGCGGCGGCAGCGCGGTGCTCGCTGCGGCAGGCCGTCACCATACTACCAGTGGGGTGCATTCTCTGTCGTCAGGACCGACGACCCCGAGTCGTCGCGGAAGAGGAGGAGGAGAAGACGCAACGCTCACCAGCGGGACCCCCTCCACGGTGCCATCACCCGCCGTCTCGCCGCCCTCGACGTCACTCCCGTCCTCTTCCGCTGACAGGCGCGACACCGCCTCCACGATGACGACGACGACGCTTGAAGCGCTGCCGTCCACTGTCGCCCAAATCACCGTCCCCGTTCACGACAAAGGCGAAGGCGCGGTGTTTGCTCATAGAGAACGGAGCAGCAACGGCAGTGGCGGCAGCAGCGACGATGAGGGGGCGCAACGAGGGCTGCCCTCTTCTTCACCCCGCAGTCGTCATCATCATCATCATCACCGCGGCCATCGCTCACGTGCCCCGTCGACGGCAATGCTCTCCCTCGCCACCTCCACCGGCGCCTCTGCCTTCTGGGTGGTCCCACTGCGCCTTAACTTTTTCCACCTAGCCGCCATAGGTGACTCGACGGAGTGCCTCGCCTACGTGCTGCGGTGGAGCGGGGTGCCGGACTACGTCCCCTGCGCGCTGAGCGACGCGTTCCATGACGAGGCACAGGCAGAGGAGTTGCGCTGGGACGTCCACGCCAACGTTGGGAGGCTAGCAGCGACGGAGACGCAAGATGCGGAACATTGTCGCGGCGCCCACCACGGCTGCCAGAAGTGGCGCGACGACCCCACCAGCACGCGGGAGCCGACGAGCGTGATCGGCACTCTCCCCCCCTTCACCGCCGCCTCTCCGGTGTTGACAGAAGGGATCGCCCTGCCGACCGCCACCACCACCACTGCCGCTCTCTCGAACGCAGAGGAATTGGGAAGCAGAACGAATATTGTGGTCGTTAGCAGCGTTCTCGAGAGTCTGCGCACCAGCAGCAGCAACAGCGGCAACAACGATACATCGCGCACGCGGACCGGTGGAGCGGCCACGGCGGCCCCCACGTTGCGCAGGGCGGGTAGTGCGTCTGGTGGTCCGCAACCATCTGCCACCGCTGCGCTGCACCTTCCGGTTCTCATGGAGGAGCCACCACCGTCAGCGACACTCCCGCCCGCACACGCGTTGTGCAGGTCGTCGTCCCTCATCGCAGAGGTCGCAACGAGGAGAGACGGCGAGGCGGTCACCGGGTCGGACACCCTCTCCGACGTCTTCAACCGCACCTGGAGCAGCAGCCGGTCCTCGCTGAACTCCGTCTCCTCGAACGAGGCGCAGCGACGGGCGAGCGCGTGCCCCGGTCTCGCTTCCTCTGTCCTGCCCCGTCGGGCACTTCGCCTACGTGCGATGTGTACGCTGCTGCAGTCGCACCTCCAAGACGACGGCGTGCGGTGGCGGGTGCGCACGACTGTCTTTGGTCGTCGCCGCCGCTGCGGCAGCAGTGCCCCCGGTGCGATGCTGCGACCTCGCGCCACGGCCACCACGCGAACAGAAGAAAAACAGGAGAAGGGAGACACGGAAGGAGGGGCCGTGTGGGACCGCGCGTCGTTGTCGCCATCGCCGTCCGCTGCCGCGGTGGGGCTGGCCAGTGAGCAGAACAGCGTGCTGGCGAACACGTGTTTCGGCTCCACTGCCGCCGCGGCCGCCCTGCACACTGGCATGACGATCTGCTATGCGACTATGAACAACTTAGTGGATGAGGAGGAGGTGGTGGCGGAGGAGGAGCCGCACCGCCATACCGACAGTGTCAGTAGCAGCACCTGCAGTAGCGCCAGCAGCAACCCGACCTCAAATGAAGGCAGTGGCTACAGCTACGATGCGCAGACGGCGTCTGGCACCACCAGGAAAGAAACACAAAGCCGTGTGAAGAGGCACCACCGTCAAGTGCACGCGCGCCGGCTGCGGGAGCACGAGCGGCTGCGTCGTCTCCATCAACAGCGGCGCCGCGCCTTTGTCTCCGCCGTGACGAAACTGCGTCAGTGCATCGTCCACGTCCCGCTCGACGTGGCCCACCTCGCCGCGATAGAAATGGCGGTAGATCGGGCCTGTACGACGCTGCCATCGGCGCCGGCACGCCGCAGCTTGCAGCAGGCCCTGTTGATCGTGACGCGTCGACTGCAGAATCAGAAACGTCGTCAGCAGCTGATCGGTGACCTTCGAAGGAGTGCCGCCACAGCTGCAGCGAGGTCAGGAACAACACCGTCTGCTGTCAGTGCGAGGCAGCGAAGCTCGACCGACGACCCGGCACATGACAGCGAAGCAAAGGGCACCCTCGGCGTGGAAGACTCCTTCGCAGGGAACACCGCTACAATATCGAAGGACAGTCACCCCGCGTCCAGCTTCCCCAGCACCCCGACGGCGGAGGCAGGCACACGAAGACGCGGCGGACACGTGAACAGCCCCCGGCAAGATGCGAGGTCACCGTCGATTGCCACCTCAGCTCCCTCGTACTACAGTGCCCTCGGTCAATACACCGAAGGGGAGTCTAATAATGCTGGCGAGAAGGGCGGTGGCGACTTCGTTTTGGATGAACGATGGCGTCGCTTCCGACACGAGCAGCAGCAGCAGCGTCTCCGGCAGCTGCTCACGGCGCTGGCCAGCGAGCTGAACGCAGTCGATACGCGAGGGTTGACGCCGCTGCACTACGCGATTGCGAACCAGAACGCCGGTATGGTGTATCTGCTCTGTGCCTACGGGGCCACCTTTGTCTTTGCGTCCGAGGAGACGGAGTCGCAGCTGGTCGGGCGCTCTGTAAAGGCGGTGGCCGCAGAAGCCGCCATGGTTGCGGCGTTGGAGGACAACAGCAGCAACAGCAATGGCACCGCGACGTTCTCGGTGACGAGTGGGAGTGATTCGGAGGGATCGCTGGCTGCGTCGATGGTGCACGTTGATGGTGCGCCGACGGTGTCACCAATGATGGCGTCCACCGTTATCGTCTCGCCCACCGGCATGCTTACCCCGGCGCGCAGCGAGAAGACGGGGACAACAGCGCCTGCAGCGACGAGGGCGAGGACGACGGCAGCGGCACTGCGTGCGCAGCTGGCAGACTCGGGCATCGTCGCCGCGGCTGATATTCTCGCGCGCTACAGCGAGCACTACGCCGGTCAGCTTACCCCGGCCACTCGGGAAGCGCTGCGTCAGGCCGCCAAGGCAGCTAGAGCGGAACCCTTACTACGGCACCTGCCCACACGCGAAGCACAGGAAGGGGGGCGGCTGGACGCGTCACACGACGGACTTCAGCGAGACGCCCCGCCTCGAGTCGGCACATCACCGCTGCAGCTTCACTCTACTCAACCGCCGATTGCCTCCACTACAGCCAGTGCTACACCCGCGACGACAGCAGAGTTGGGTGGTGATGATGGATGTGTTCCTGCTACGTCGACGACTGTCGCTGTCTCACTCACCACGCCGCCGCCGTCGACCTCCTTGTCGTCGTCCCTCTCCGCCTTTCCGCAGCTCCTGCCACCGCAACGACCACCCCCGCTGACGCAGTTTGTTGCGCCGCCCTCGACGATAGCTGCCACGCTGACCGAGGCGCTGGGCCTGGGCGTCAGCAGCATCTTCGCCGTGGCCGCAGCAGGTGCCTTGCGGGAGTTGAACGTAGCTGGGCAACAGGGCACCCGTGAATCGGTGCCGGCAGTGGCGTCGGCTTCCTCGACGCCGACACCGCAGAGCACGATGGCTGCCCCGACAGAAGCCGCAATGATGGCAAGCAGGCGAAATAAACTTCACGACCTGCAGGCGCACCTCGTGGAACAAGAAGAGAGGGCGCTCCAGCAGATGGTGGGAGGCGCGAGGGCGGTGTCTCGCTGCAACAACAATAATAACAGCAGCGTCGCCACTCCGCTGCTGCCTCCTCCACCAACGGCCTCCAGTGCCAGAGCACGCGAGAGTACTGGGGAGGAGAAAATGGCTCGCGGTAATACAGCGTTGCCGTCCCCCGCCTTCGCGGCGACCCCAACAGGGGACGTGGCGGCGGCCGCCGCGGTAGAAAGTGCGGTTGCATCTTCTGGGGCTGCCTCTCGCTGCTCCGCCGCCTCCTCTCCTTCGGCACCCGCCACTGCCACCGCGGCGACGGCGGCCGCAGACGCGCAGAATGCGGTAGAGTACGCGATGCTCGAGCCGCACGACGTCTTCGTCACCCACGTCGTGCGCAACCCGGCGAAGGCGGACAGCATGGTGCGGGCGGCGATGGAAGGGACAGCGCTGAGGTACCTTTTTCAAGCCTATGTGGTCACGAGTACGGTGGGAATTTGAGCAGCGCGCGGAGGGGATGGCAGGAGGGGAGGGGGAGGGATGCGACGCTGACTTGGAAAACTGTCCCTGCTGCGTGCGTGTGTTTATCTGCTCGTTGATCTCACCCGCAAGCCTCAACGCTCTTTTCATTCGAGCCTATTATTTCTGTCTTGTGGCATCTCTCCTGCGCTGCCACCAAACGCAGTGGGCGGCGGAGGCGAAGAGAATCGACGCCCAAAAAAAAAGGAGGGGTGGTAAAAGAAGCAAACAAACAAAAGGCATCTGGTAGTTTTGGAGAAGGAAACGGACGAAGCGGAGATGCTCGTTGGCGAAAGGCCTCCTTTGTGTGTCCGCTTTTTTTTGTTGTTGTTGTTTTTGTTTTTGAAGAAAGAGGGAAAAGAGAAAAGTAAACGGAAGGGCTACAGCAAAGTGCGCTCCTCCACCTTTAGCGGTGCCGCCATGTTCGATCAGTACTCACCGCTGCCGCCTGCGGGTGCACCGATCGGAAAGGAAAGACAAGGTAATTGCCGTCCTCTTCCACGACGCAGCAGCGCGTGTTCTCGTCTTACCAAAGCCTCCTTCTCTGCTCTGTTTTTTTTCCCTCCCATCTGTGACATCGCATGTACTTTTTCCTCACACTGTTGATTTGGCGCACTAGTCGAGAAATTACATTAGCTGCCTCACAGCCTCACAGCATCCACCCCGACTCTCCTCGTCATTGTCAAAGAGTTGGTGTTTGTTCGCTGCTTTCTTTCTTCGTGTGTTTCACTCGTCAAGGAGGGGTTTCGATAGATACACATTCGGCAAGTCTGACAGCTAAGCGAAGATGGGTGGGTCCTCGAGCAAGAACAAGACGGGGCCGCTTTACGTCCCCGATCCGCACCGGCCCTCTCACCTCTTTGTGCTGCGCTCCCCTGAAGTGCTCTTGGCGACCGTGGCGATGGCCGCGAGCTTCTTCCTTCTCCTGACCGGCACCCACAATGACAAGCTCAACGGGTACAACGGGTTGTGGGAGACGTTTAACCGCAAGAGCCGGGTGCGGATGCAGAGTCGCGAGGCAGAGGCGCTGCCCGATCCCCCAACGCCGATCAGCGCGGACATGGCGCTCGTGGTGGTGTGCACGCTGGCGTGCAACGCCTTCCTCAACGCGTGCGCGCGCGTCCTCGTGAACGAGCAGTTACGACTTGAGAAGGAGGAGGAAACCGCCTTTTTGAAAGCGACAGAGAATCCCGAGACGCGTGCGGAGGCGTTAGCGAAGAAGGCAAACGCCTTGGCAGAGCGCATTAAAATATGGGAAGAGAACGATCAGCGCCGTGCCGCCGGTCGCACGTTGAAGCGCGAACGAATCGTGCAAGTCGATGTCATGGCGGATGATGCGTTGACCAGCATTATTGTCGTCGCCTCCGTCATTTTGACCGGCCTTACCGGGTGGTTCATTCAAATGCAGCCGCCAAATGCGATCCGCGGCTGCGGCGCTGGCGCCATGCTGGCGGTGCTGGTGGGCGGCATGGTGGTGTGCGGCGCCGACCGCAACCTGACTGGGCTGCGCCACTACTGCAACTACGTGAATCTTATCTGTGTGGCGTGCTTCATGGTACTCTTTGCGCGGGCGACGTTGCTGGCGAACTAAAACCGTTGTTGTCGTTCAGCTATTATTGTTCTGCCTTGTGTATTACGATGATGACGGGTTCACCCCATCAGCAAGCTGTCAAAAGAGCTCGTCCTTAAGTCTCGTGGATGTGTGTGTGTGTGTTGTTGTTGTTGTTGTTGCTGTCGGAGATATATATATATATATATGCATATTGTGTGGTCTGTGCGGTAGCGTTCTCGTAGTCTCGCTTTCCTTTATTGCTTGTTACTTTATACACACTCACGCGTTGCACCTCCTCATCAAAAGAATCGGCTTCCATCGTACTTTTCGGGTTTCCGCTGTCGTTGATGTGTGTCGCTCCGTGCTCCATACAACCTTCACAGACGACTTAGTGGTGTGGACGGAAAACGAAGAAGTTCTAAGCGTAATAAACAGTACGGGCATCAGCAGCCCAAACCTTAAGAAGACGAGCAAGAACAGCAGTAATAATATAAAGATAGCCGATCAAGCGCTTTTCCTGTTAAGCTTTGGTTGCTCAGATCTGTTGCTTATGCATAGGGATCTCTTTGTGTGTGTTAGTGCCATTAGTGATTTATTCTTCAAATACGTGCTCGTGGAGTGTAAAGTCACGTAACCCTCAAATACCCTCGCCGCAACATGGGGAAAAGGGCTCATGCGGCAACCAGCTGCCTCGCTGCGCTCTACGGCACGTCACGTAGCTCCATCCTCCTTCCCCTCCCCCTCTCTCCTCCATTTTCTTTCTAGTTATTTAATCCCCGTTTTCCTCCTGTGTGTCTTCATACTTTAAAAAGAACAAAAAAAAAGTGCGTACTTTTCTAAGACTAGTCCGCCGGATATATTTGCCCTTGTTGCTGTGGTGGTGGTGGTTGTCCGTGACTCGCCCTATTTCCTGCTGCTACTGTCTGTACGAGTGCATTAAATCATACACACACACACATATATATATATATAGGACGTTAAAACCAACGGAAGAGGAAATGCCCGGACCTGGTCTCCTGCCCGATGGTTGGTTCCGTGAGGAGAGCACGATGTGGCCCGGTCAGGGCCAGGGGCTCAAGGTGGAGAAGGTTCTCTACGACGCCAAGACGGATTTCCAGCACCTCACCGTCTTCGAGTCCGATCCAAAAGGCCCGTGGGGCACCGTCATGACCCTCGACGGGGCCATTCAGTTCACCGACTACGACGAGTTCGTGTACCACGAGATGCTCGCCAACTTGTCGCTGACGACGCACAAGAAGCCCGAGCGCGTCCTCGTCATCGGCGGTGGTGACGGCGGTGTGGTGCGCGAGGTGCTGCGCCACAAGAATACGAAGGAGGGCATCGTGCAGTCGGTGGAGCTCGTCGACATCGACGGGGCGGTGATCGAGCAGAGCAAGCTGCACTTCCCGCAGATCGCGTGCGGGTTTGCGGATCCGTGCGTGACCGCCACCGTTGGCGACGGCGTCGCCTTCGTGAAGGCTGCGGCGGACAACGCCTACGACGTCATCATCATCGACACGACGGACCCGGACGGGCCTGCGTCGGAGCTCTTTGGGGCTGACTTTTACAGGAACGTCCTGCGCATCCTGCGCCCCGGCGGCATCGTGTGTAACCAAGGCGAGTCCGTCTGGCTGCACCGCCCCCTCATTGAGACGATGATGGGTTTCCTGAAGAAGGAGATCGGTTTTGCGACGGTGAAGTACGCCATGATCTACATCCCCACCTACCCGTGCGGCAGCATCGGCACGCTGGTATGTGCCAAGTCGCCGGAGACGGACGTCGTGGTGCCGGTGCGTCCTGTCGAGTCGCTTGGCTTTGCGAAGGACCTTAAGTACTACAGCACGGACATGCATAAGGCGTCGTTTGTGCTCCCCCGCTTTGCTGCGCATCTGAATGAGTAAGGAAGAGAGAGAGTTCAAAAAGCAAAGGAATTTGGTGAAGAGCAGTTCTGCGGCGGCGACATAAGTGCAGGATGCATTGCTTTGTTTGGTTGTTTGGTTCCTTTCTTCTGGTTTTCGTGTCCTTTGCGGTGCGAGGACGAAATCAGAGGTGTGGTGCGCCTGACAGTGATAACCGGCGAGGTGATTGCTGCCGCGGCGGCGAACTGGTTTGTGGTCTTCCTCACTGGTTTTATTATGATTATCTGTTCGTTGCCGGCTCGCTGCTTCACTCGGTGCTTTAACACCTACTAATTTATCTCCTCCTTCTTTTTTCTCGTAACTGATGCTCTGTCGCGAGTAATGAAGCAAGCAAAAGCGCGTCAGCACGAAAAGGGTTTTTTTGTTATTTTAATGCACTTTGTTGGCTTAAAAGCTGCGAGTAAGAGAATTTGAAAAGCAATAGCAGAGTGACGTACCGACTCGCTGACGGCGAGAAGAACGATGAAAACTGGTCACCGCAGTTTATTTGGAACGAGGGAAGTCAGCAAAGCTATTCTCTAAATACATATATATATAGAGAGAGAGAGAGAAGAAGAAGCCGACTCGACATTTAAAACTATTAAGAAGAAGTCTTTTTCCGTTTTTGAACTCCTTCTTTTTTGTTGCTCCATCAGTTTCTCCCCTCCTTCCCCTCTCATCCTTCCCCTCTCATCCTTGTCTGTCAACCCGGCTACCCAACCCCCTACACACACACACACCTATAGAGCTCCCATCACCTTGTGTGGCCCAATCCCATTGCGTAGTGAACTTTCCTGCGCCAAGTCTTGCTACATTCATCGGTGTAAGGGACGTCTTCTGCCCTCTTCTTTTCCTATTTTATTATTTTTTAAGTGGGCGAGATACTTCCCTCCCAACCACCTTTCTCAAGCTTTTTCCTTTCTCGTAACTCATCTAGACCTTTCATGTGAGCCCGTCGTGTTCGGCTAGCTTGCGCCCCTGTACTTTTAAGCAGAGCTGTAGATATATGTATGTATATCACCATACCCACTCCTTTAATAGTCAAGACTGTTTACACCTGCGGACGATGGCGGGCGACACCGCCAGCGACGGCATTCCGCTGCTCACACGCCTCCTCCTCGTCCGTGCCACCGCCTTCTTCGATCCGTCTTTCCCGAGCGATGTGCACCAGCCTTCGGCCTCGTCACGGCCGCTTCCTCGCAGACGATCATCGACAGCAGCCACGCCAGCGGTCAGCACCACAACAGCGGCTGCCACTCAGGTCAAGCCGTCCCTACGCATCGTGGCCCATTACACCGAAAGCGCAGCGAACAAAACGGCTTCGACTGCGGACCCGTCCGCTCTCCGTAGTGCGACGACGACACCGAAGGAGGACGCCGACTTCTTCGCTGCGCACGCGACGCTGCATCAGCTGCTGTCCTCGCTGGCCTCCGACCGGCTGCGTGAAAAAGTAAAGCTGCGGCAGACCCAAACGGACATCGCACGCACGGCGGTGCAGCTGGCTCGTGCGACGGCCGGCTCCTCGGCAACGGCAACGGCCGCCGCAGGGTCCCCGGATGCGATCGGCTTCTTCCCGAGCTCCATCGCGAGTGCCTCCTCGTCCTCTTCCCTCAAAAGGAACGAATTCTACGCGAATGCGACAAACGTGGATGACGAAAGCAGTCAGAGCGGCGCGGGAAGCAGCAACAGCATCAGCAGCAACAACCCGCAGGTGCAAGGCATCCTGGCGGCGACCACGGCAACCTTTGCCGAGGATGCGGCGTGGCGCAGCTTGATGACACCCTACCAGCCGGAGCTGAACCCGTGGAGTCTCACGCCTGTGTCGGACGAAGGCTGCTACGTGTCGCTGCCCTCTCCGGCCTACGTTCACTGGTGTGAAGTGCAGGCCGCCCGCTACTGCCGTGCAGCAGACGGCGCAGAAACGAGCTCGGTGGAGCCGGAGGTGCAGGGCGGCCCGATGTTATACAACGACGTTGTGCACTACGCGAGCGGGAACGATGTGGGCGGAAGAAACGTCTGCAGCGGCAGCGGCGAAGAGCTGGGCTACGTACACGGCTACGTCTTTCTCCTCGACGGCGCGGTCTTCGCGGGGGCGGGCGAGCAGCAGGCGGCCGCGACCTCCGATAGTGGACCGCTCTCCAGTAGTGACGGTGAAGTAAGCGTGCTGCTGTGGTGCGTGCTGAGTGACGCGCCGGTGTTCAACTTCATGCGCTCGCTGACGCTGGAGGCGGTGACCGCGATGAGCTACGTGGCGCAGCGCACGTATCACGCGTTCGCCGAGTCATCACCCTCGCACGGCGCAGCGGCAGAGATAGTTGGGGGTGTCGGCACGGATGTGTACACGAGCGCGCTGGACAGCGCGTTGGACGAGATGGTGGTTCGACCGCTTGCGGTGGAGCTGGTTCGGCACGGCTCGGTGTCCAGCTGCACCTTGCCGGGTGACAGCTTCACCGTGCACCTGCCAGCAACGCGTGGGGGCCACGCCGGCGTCGCGGCACGTCTGCAGACGTCGTCGTCGACCGCGTCTGGCGCGGCAACGTTTCGCCGCCCGGTGGAGCTGCTCTTCCCCTTCTCCGATGTCCCGCTCGCGGTGCTGCTATTGAGCTTCGGCGAGGACGCGCTGCGGGTGCTGCAGTCGCTACTGATGCAGGAGGAGCGCGTCGTCGTCATCGGAGCCACGCCGCAGCACGCGTCCGCCTGTGTGGTGAGTCTGCCGAGCCTCATCGTGCCATTTACCTGGGTCTCCCCCTTCGTGCCGTACCTCCCACCGCACGCTGCAGCCGAGACAGGGCTGTTGTATACCTTGTTGTCGACGTCCTTCTCCGTTTCGCGTCAACTCGAGCCACATCATCAACCGCGGCAGTCCGGCACTCCTGGCTCGTCGTCATCGCAGCAGCAGCAGCAGCAGGTGCAAAGTGCCGGCTTCCTGCTCGGCAGCACCGCCGGCATTCGGCCATATTTGATGTTTCTATCCGCCTTTGGTGTGGCGGAGGAGGGCGGCGGAAGTAAAGGATCTCGCAGTGGTCGCCCGCCACGCGTGTGGATCGCTGATGCGCGCACCGGTGCCGTCGGTGTGTGTCCTACGGAACCCGTTTCTCCGTATGTACTCACCGATACGAAGGCACAAAGCGAGAACGGTACGAGGAATAGGAATTCGAGTACTGGCACGGATCGCAGCTGCACGGCTCACGGCGGTGCCTGCGCGTGGACCGCGCCGGTGCACCTTGACCCCCGTGCTGCTGCTCCGCAGGTGTACGCCGGCGGCTCCCCTCGGGAGACGTCCCAAAGCCCCTACGTGCTCTACCACGCGGTGCGCAGCACCCTCCGCACGGCGGCGGAGCTCAACGTGATGGACGCGGCTTCGCTGGATGTACTGCCGCCTTTTCATGACGAACTGTGCGATGCGCTGCGGCGTGTGGCGCCGGCAGAGAAGCGGCGACAGTTCCGCCACGCGTTGGAAGCGCTGACCCAGCACACCCAAGCGCGGGTGGACCACCTCGCCTCCCTCGCCGCGCGTCTGGCGCGCGGGCTACGACAAGCACGGCGGGCCGCCGCTGCTACGGCCGGCGCGGCGCGCCTCAATGGCTTCGGCACAGACAGTGTGAACAGTACAGACAACGGCAGCTGCAGCAGCAGTATCAGCAGCAGCAACTGCAGCAGTGGCAGTGACGATAATGATGGTGGTGGTGGTGGAGCGGCGAGCGTGGAAGATACCTTTCAGAAGGACGAAAACGCGTCTTTCCGCGCCGTGGCAGAGGCGAGAGCGGCGTCTCACTCCCTTGCCTTTCCTGACCCGTCCTCGTCCAGCGACCATGCCCCGTTCCCCACTCTCTCGCCCAGCGACATCTGGCAGGTGCAGTCGGGCTTCCTGGGCTACGTGGTGGAGCGCCTAGCCGGTGGCTATCGTCGCGGCATCACGGTGGACGGCAGTGGCAGCAGCCGGCGCCGGTTCATGCAAGCTTCCGTCTTTCTCACGCCAGGGCTGGACCAGCACTACGTTCTGGCCGAGACCGTCGCCCGCACACACCTGTTTCGACAGTTCGAAGGGGCGGTTCTGGCGGCCGAGGCGCTCGGTCTGCGCCGTGTGCTGGGCGGGTGCGGCCTACGCGTCTCTCGCGACGGCAACGGTGATGCAGGCGCGTGTCACGTCATGGTGAAGTACCTGCGCCCCCTCGCGCTGTTCGCCGTCCTCTGTGACCGGGCCCGGCTGCAGTACCCCGAGCTGTACGCCGATGTCCCCCGTCTCGACGCCGTGGGCACGGTGTACACCACGCTGGTGGAGCGCTGCTTTACGCACCGCACCGGTCCACCTCCGGCGGCCGTGTCGGTGCCTTCAATTATACGCAGCATCGCCGGCAGCAGCGCGGCCTCGGACGTCCATCGTGCGGCTGTCGTCTCGAGCAACAGCACCGGCGCCTACACAAGCAGCAACAGCAGCGGCGGCTTCCGCAGCTTTCTGTCCAAGGCGGCCAAAGCGATGAAGCTGCACAGTGGAGGTAACAGCGGCAGCAACAGCAGCGGTGGCGGGCGTGGGCTGCCGGTGGTGTACATCGCCGCCTCCGTTGCGTGCCTTAACAGCTTCGCCGTCGCCCCGTTCTCCGCCCAGCACGTCGTCCCGCAGTCGTTTCAAATTACGACGTACGACCGCAGCGGGCTTGACGGCGAGCGACAGCCCCGACACCACCACCACCGTGGCCTTCACTTGCGGCGTCACGGTGGGGCAAAGAAAGGAAGTCATCGTCGGCGTCGCGGCAAGTCCCTGGCGGATCTCTACGCCATTCCGGTAAAACCTCAGCGACAGCAGTGGGAGCTGCAGCAGCGGTATCAGCAGCGCACGGCCATTCACATCGACTTCACGCTGGATGACTGCACGACTGTGGTACGGAACGTCAACGCGTCAGGTGGCGTGAGCGGGGCCGCGGTCGGGGTGTCGAACAGCAGCGTGTATGTGAGCGGGGTCGGGTTGGACGCGGAGGCCCTGACGGCGCGGGCGCGGGCTGGCAGCGGCGGCAGTAACGACGCGACGATTCGAATAATGGCCGAGGCCTCGCTCAGTATATGCCACACGCTACCGCTGGACATAGTGCACCAATTCGATGCCTATGAACCGCTGCTCGCGCCTGTTGTGGTCGCCTCGTCCTCCGCCTCCGTCACGGGAGAAGCTGCTGCGACGGTGGTGGTGGGGGAAGGGGACTTCACCGGCCCAGCCGCCTACATGGGCGTGGGTCTGCTGTGTCCTTCCTGTGTGAACGTGTGGCGCGAAGGAGAAGCGCGGGCAACGCGTGTGCTGCTGGAGCAGCGCAGCAGCAACTCCTCGCAGCTGCCGCCGAAGCCGGTGAAGGTAATCGGGGCCGCCACGCCCTCTGAAGCGCAGTCGTCCATGGCGCAGCCCGACTCTCCGCCGCCGCCGCAGACGGGATCCGTCGCAGCAGCAAACAGGACGCGAGTGGGCGCGCCACCCGTCACTTCGTGGGGGACCTTCACTTCCGGGGCCCCGCTTGGATTCCCGATCGACAGCACCCCTTGCTATCTCCCCGCGGGACACAACGGCGGCAGCAGCGGCCCCAACGACACGAACAAGGCAGTGCTGTCGTCCGTTGACACGGCCCACTCCGCCTACGCCGCCCCTCCCGTTCTTTCTGCCACGTCGGCCGTCAGTCCCACCGCGCCAGCGTCACGCGCCAATGTCCATCACGATGCGTGGGATAGCTGGGGGGTGCAGGCACCGATGGTCGCCGTGAGCACCCCAAGCACGGTGGCGGCTACCGACGTGCATACCGGCAGTCCGACCAACAGCGGCAGTCGCGAGGTGATGACGGCGGCGCAGCCAATGTCCGCTCCCGCGCCGGGAGACGTGATGGATGAACTGTTTGGGGGTCTCTCTGGCTACAGCAACGTGGGCAGCGCGAGCAGCACTGTGCAGCAGCAGCAACAACCACCTCGGCGTCAAACGCTCGATGACTTCTTCTGATCCTCTAAAAACAAAGAGGAGAGAGAATGAAACCGTTGTGATGCCGTCAGCTGTGGTGCGGGGTGTATGCCATTTACCTTCCTTCTTCTTCTTTTTAAGCAGTTGGTTTCCTGCTTGCTGCTGCATGCCGTAAAGCCGGCAACGAATCGCACACGCACACACAACCTTTAAAAACACGTCTCTCTCTCTCTCTCTTTCTCCGTTGCGATTGGCGCTGAGAGGGGTCGAGGTGTTCGTAGGATCGTCGAGCAGCCGAAGCAGCACCGGCCACAGAAAGCAAAAGGGTCTATCGAACGAGCACGTATATTCCCTTCTTCGTCTTTGTTCTTCGAAGGTCTCCGCAGTCGAGACCCCAAAAAATAAGAGCAGCGAGGAACCGAGAAACGCCCTCTTTTTTGTTTATTAATTATTATTATTCTCATCTCGAAAGGGAGGAAAAGGACGCTGGGGTGTGAAGCAAGGTGGACGCCGCCACCTCGCCAGGTCTGCCAACCATTTCCTCGTCGTTCCCTTTGCTGTTGTTGTATTGCCAGCTTGCTTGGACTCCTGCTTCTCACCTCACTCCTCTTGTTCTTCACGCACGACGGCCCACACCCCGCTCCTTCTTGCTTTCTAACATGAAAGAAAAAGGAAGCTGCTTTTCCAGCTGGACGTGCACCGCGTCTGCAGGGCGTCTGATCGACTCCACGCAAACGCGCCCGCGAAATACACACACACACACACGCAGAGTGACCACAGCGATAGGTGTACACTTTACAGCCTTTTTTCCCCCCTGTAAGCCCTCCGAAATAAAGTACATCTTCGCCGATCGCGACCCCTCCCGAAAGACGCTGTTAAAGGCGAAGGAGCAGAGAGAAAACGAGAGACAACGAAAGGCCGCGGCATCGACGCAGTTCCGACAGCATCATGGCCGCCTCCTCCTCCCCGCGAGAGCCACTCGTGCCGACCATCAACTTCTCGATGGTCTGCCCCGGTGTCTATCGAAGTGGCTACCCAACCAAGAAGAACTACTCCTTCCTGTGCGCCCTGCGCCTTCGCAGCATCCTGTACCTCTGTCCGGAGGACTACGCCGAGAGTAACTTGAAGTTTTGCGAAGAAAACGGCATCCACGTCTTGCGCTTCCCCACCGAAGGCAACAAGGAACCTTTCAACGACATCTCCGAGCCGCTCATGCACCGCATCTTGGGCGCCATCTGCGACACACGCAACCTGCCGTTGCTGATCCACTGCAACAAAGGCAAGCACCGCACCGGCACGGTGGTGGCCTGTCTGCGCCACCTGCAAGGCTGGTCGCTCGTCTCCATCTTTGAAGAGTACAAGCGCTTTGCGAGCGACAAGGCGCGTGTCGGGGATCAGCAGTACGTGGAACTGTACCACCCCATTGTAAAGCTCACACCGCCTTTCGTCGCGCCGTGGGTCACCATCACGCCACGTGCGACGCTGGTCACGTCGGACCGTGAGCTTATCGAGGCGGAGACGATACAGCTCGGTACGAGTCTCTTGACGCCGGACAAGCCACTGAAGAAGGCGGGCGGTGGGCAGACAAGAGGAATGGGAAGCGCAGCCACAACAGCGACGCCCGCAGCGCCCACCGGCGCAACCCCTCCAGCAGTCGCGGGCACCCTCTCCGCCGTGCCACAACCACCGTCGCCGAACGTGGTGCCCGCCCCACCCACCACCACCACCGTCACGCCTCCGACGCTCTCCTCTCCCTCGACGGGGGTGTCCGCCTCTGTCGCGAATCCTTCTCTTCCGCCGGCGCCCCCGCCTTCCGCTGCTGCCGTCCCGGCGCTCGCGCCAGCGCTGGCGGCTTCGTCGGTGTCTCGGCTACCCACGCCTCAGCCGCCGGGTGCCCGGCAGCAGCCGGAGGTGCCATTTCCAATGCACACACCCGGCAGTACCAACACAGCAACAGCGGCAGCGGCAGCGGGGGCGGTGGCTAGCGGCGGCAGCAGTAGAGTTGACGGGGGTGTTGCCTCTTCCCTTCCAGGAGCGAGCCACGGTTTGGGTAACACAAATGGAGTCCAAGCAGGTAAAGGGACGTCGACCACCACCCCTCGGCCGTCACCGCCATCGGCAATTACACCGACGGTGTTCGCCACCGTCCCGCCGACCCCGTCCGGCCCCTACGGGAGCCGCAGCGGTGCGAACGCGCATGGTGGTCCGCCACCACCCAACAAATAGACGCGGCTGATGAGAAAAGAAGGAAGGGAGGAGAGGAGAGGAGAACATGGCGGAGAAGAAAGCACGACGAGAGGTCAAGGCTCCCTGCACCTCTCTCTCTCTCTTCTATACATTCTTTACTATTATTATTATTATTTTTTTTGAAGGTCAGATGGAGGTGGAGGAAGAAGGAGGTGAGGTGCGGCGATTTGGCAGGAGAGTGTTGAGTGAATCGCGGAATGTCGCCCGCCTTTGTGCGCTCTCGCGCGTCCGCTCGCTGCGCTATTGCCAATTCAAAAAGGAAAAGAAAAAATGATACGTGCGGTTTTTCATTTCCTTTCCCCCTGTGGCGAAGAAGCCAAGGCGCTCTCGCAATTCCTCAACGTCAGCTGATCAGCAGCTTTGTTCAGAGTGCGTATTTGTGTCGCGGCCGCTCGTACTGTATTTGAATTATATATATCCTCTATCTCTTCCTATGATGGGCCCTCTGTGTCTTCTTTTATTATTCTGCCGTACTGTCACGTAAACCGTCCTCGTTCGCTCAAGCCGAGTCAAGCTGGAGAACTGTAAAAAGGAAAGAAGAAGCGTGTACTGTGTAACGCCTGCGTAGGGCTCTTTGCCCAATACGGGAGAGGTAACACAGGAGGCAAACAAACAAAAAAGAAGGGATCCTCTACGCACATTCTTTACTTGTTACTTGCTTCGTTGATGTGCTCAAAAGGTGATGGATTGCTGTTTAGATGTGGATGTTATATCTAATTTCTTCTCTCGCCATCTCTATTGTCTCCCTTTCTTTCTACTGTTCGTTAGACGGAGAGCGTTGCACTTGAAGCGCATTGACCGTGTGTATGTGCTCTGCTCTGGCTTGACCAGCAAATGGGCAGGTGGCTCATGCAGCTCTTCAAATGATGACCTTTCCTCGACCGTTGTCTCCGCCCATAGACTTTTGTGTGGTCGAACAAAACGCATCAGAGAAGACGCGGAGACGTTGCGGTTCGATGTGCTCTGTATGCGTGTGTGTGTGTGTGTGTGTGTGTGTGTGTGTGTGTGAGTGAGTGTGTGTGTGTTCCACAGCTTCCGACGGCGGACGACGCGTGATGCGACCTACACCTTAGCATTATGAAGTTAGCCCTTCAATCTGACGATCGTACGTGACTGATTGCTTCAAGTTCCGTTTCAAGACTATTCCTGGCTGAAGTCGTTCGTTGGTGGCATTGACGCTTGCAAGTGCCTGCGTGTTTGTAGGCGGTGATCTCGTACACCGCAGACATATCTCTCTCTCGCAGCAACGTGCTTGTGTAAACAGAGTGCGCAGAGGAATCACATCAGTTGTGCACCCTGTGATAGCAGTGACGAAGATTGCAGCCGCCGGGTGCGTTTGTGTGCTCCTACGGCTTGTTGTGTGTGCTGTCTTGTGTGGAAGTGGTGTGGGTAAAGCGGTGCGGTGCGGCGTCGAGAGCGCTGCCACTGCATCAGCGCACCGACTCGCGCCTCGTTCCTCTGCCTTTTTAGGTCGCATCACGCGTACCTTAGCATTATGAAGTTAGCCCTTCAATCTGACGATCGTACGTGACTGATTGCTTCAAGTTCCGTTTCAAGTTCATTTTGGCTGAAGTCGTTCGTTGGTGGCATTGACGCTTGCAAGTGCCTGCGTGTTTGTAGGCGGTGATCTCGTACACCGCAGACATATCTCTCTCTCGCAGCAACGTGCTTGTGTAAACAGAGTGCGCAGAGGAATCACATCAGTTGTGCACCCTGTGATAGCAGTGACGAAGATTGCAGCCGCCGGGTGCGTTTGTGTGCTCCTACGGCTTGTTGTGTGTGCTGTCTTGTGTGGAAGTGGTGTGGGTAAAGCGGTGCGGTGCGGCGTCGAGAGCGCTGCCACTGCATCAGCGCACCGACTCGCGCCTCGTTCCTCTGCCTTTTTAGGTCGCATCACGCGTGATGCGCACCTTAGCATTATGAAGTTAGCCCTTCAATCTGACGATCGTACGTGACTGATTGCTTCAAGTTCCGTTTCAAGACTATTCCTGGCTGAAGTCGTTCGTTGGTGGCATTGACGCTTGCAAGTGCCTGCGTGTTTGTAGGCGGTGATCTCGTACACCGCAGACATATCTCTCTCTCGCAGCAACGTGCTTGTGTAAACAGAGTGCGCAGAGGAATCACATCAGTTGTGCACCCTGTGATAGCAGTGACGAAGATTGCAGCCGCCGGGTGCGTTTGTGTGCTCCTACGGCTTGTTGTGTGTGCTGTCTTGTGTGGAAGTGGTGTGGGTAAAGCGGTGCGGTGCGGCGTCGAGAGCGCTGCCACTGCATCAGCGCACCGACTCGCGCCTCGTTCCTCTGCCTTTTTAGGTCGCATCACGCGTGATGCGCACCTTAGCATTATGAAGTTAGCCCTTCAATCTGACGATCGTACGTGACTGATTGCTTCAAGTTCCGTTTCAAGACTATTCCTGGCTGAAGTCGTTCGTTGGTGGCATTGACGCTTGCAAGTGCCTGCGTGTTTGTAGGCGGTGATCTCGTACACCGCAGACATATCTCTCTCTCGCAGCAACGTGCTTGTGTAAACAGAGTGCGCAGAGGAATCACATCAGTTGTGCACCCTGTGATAGCAGTGACGAAGATTGCAGCCGCCGGGTGCGTTTGTGTGCTCCTACGGCTTGTTGTGTGTGCTGTCTTGTGTGGAAGTGGTGTGGGTAAAGCGGTGCGGTGCGGCGTCGAGAGCGCTGCCACTGCATCAGCGCACCGACTCGCGCCTCGTTCCTCTGCCTTTTTAGGTCGCATCACGCGTGATGCGCACCTTAGCATTATGAAGTTAGCCCTTCAATCTGACGATCGTACGTGACTGATTGCTTCAAGTTCCGTTTCAAGTTCATTTGTGGCTGACGAAAAGGCGGACTTGCGTGCGCGCGTGTTTGTGGGATCGGCTTCTCAAGCTTGCTGCTTCAATATTTCCATCGTTTATGGTGGCAGCTGTCAATGATAGCGTTGGCAATGGCGTCTTATTCATCCAAGAAAGAAACAATAATAGTTGTTAAAATAATAATAATCGCTTCATACGGCTCAGCTGTGCATGCTCCCGTGTTACCGCTGCTGAAGGGGAGGGAAAGGGAGGATATGTTCTCCACCTCTCCCTTCAAACGGACCCGTTCCGCGCCTTCGACGATGCGATGACCCCATCACCCTTATCGACCCTTTTGGCTCCTTCCTTTCTCTCTTCTCTTTTCGTCTTACACTTCGCGCTCCCACACACCACAACCAACGTGATTGTAGTCAGAGCGAGAAGAAGCAGTTCAAAAGGCAAGCCAAAGCGGCAGCGACCGACAGCTTCGGACAATCAAAGGTATCACACGCACACACGGTACATACTTTTCTTCTTCTTTTTTACATCCACTGGCTGGAGGTACACAACATCTGGCACTTGAGCAACCCCACTGCGCATGTGTGTGTGTGTGTGTGTGTGTGTGAGTGTGTCCACAGCTTCCGACGGCGGACGACGCGTGATGTTAGGTCGCATCACGCGCGACCTACACCTTAGCATTATGAAGTTAGCCCTTCAATCTGACGATCGTACGTGACTGATTGCTTCAAGTTCCGTTTCAAGTTCATTTGTGGCTGACGAAAAGGCGGACTTGCGTGCGCGCGTGTTTGTGGGATCGGCTTCTCAAGCTTGCTGCTTCAATATTTCCATCGTTTATGGTGGCAGCTGTCAATGATAGCGTTGGCAATGGCGTCTTATTCATCCAAGAAAGAAACAATAATAGTTGTTAAAATAATAATAATCGCTTCATACGGCTCAGCTGTGCATGCTCCCGTGTTACCGCTGCTGAAGGGGAGGGAAAGGGAGGATATGTTCTCCACCTCTCCCTTCAAACGGACCCGTTCCGCGCCTTCGACGATGCGATGACCCCATCACCCTTATCGACCCTTTTGGCTCCTTCCTTTCTCTCTTCTCTTTTCGTCTTACACTTCGCGCTCCCACACACCACAACCAACGTGATTGTAGTCAGAGCGAGAAGAAGCAGTTCAAAAGGCAAGCCAAAGCGGCAGCGACCGACAGCTTCGGACAATCAAAGGTATCACACGCACACACGGTACATACTTTTCTTCTTCTTTTTTACATCCACTGGCTGGAGGTACACAACATCTGGCACTTGAGCAACCCCACTGCGCATGTGTGTGTGTGTGTGTGTGTGTGTGTGAGTGTGTCCACAGCTTCCGACGGCGGACGA